AAACATTTTACTGAACTATGTATTTTGACAAAAACAACTCTGTTACAACAAAATCAGGTAAAATGCACAAAGGTATACAAGTCTTTAAAGGAAAATATTTTTCCCCTTAAATATAAAAAGATAATTTGCCAAATAACATCATACTGAAAACAAAACAACAACTGTAAGAAACATAGGAGACGTAGACAAATACAATAGTAGTGGAGGCTAACATACTTTCCCTAGTCTTTAATGACTCATGTAAGTAAAAATGAAAGGTCCATGATACTATAAGTAATAAGATCCAATTAATACATATGAATTTTGCTCCCTTCAGAGAATATACCTTATTCTGCAGTTTCCTGGGAATACGTATTAAAACGAACAATTTGTTGGGTCCTAAGAAAATATCAATAAACTCCAAAATGCAGAACTTGTACAGGCCATACCCTCTTTGACAGCAAGGCAGTAAAACTAGACATTTATAGCAAATGTTGTAAACAACAACAAATATCAAACTACCTAGAAATGAAAAATATAATTTCAAGTAACTCTTCAGTAAAAAATAAAGTTCAAATCTGAAATTATTTATAACTTAGAATACCATACCTAAAAATTTAAGGGATATGAATAAAGAAGTATTCAGAAGAAAAGCCATAGAATTACTAGTAACTGCAGCTATTATTAAACAAGAAAAAGTTAAAATGGTATTCAACGTGAGATGGTGAAAAAATAATAATAAAATAAAGACATTAATAATAACAACCCCCCCAAAAAAAATCATAATGATAATGAAAATCAAAATGATAAGAGAGTAAATTAAGATATAAGTTCCAGAGTTAATTCTTTGAAAAGACCAATGGAATAGACTAATTCTGGAAAAACTCATCATAATAAAAAGTGAAAGTATGACATACAACATAAAAAATGAGAATAGGAAACTACAACAACTTCATGCTAGCAAATCTAAAAATCTTAACAGAATCATTATTTAGGATATTTAAATTGCCAAAAACTTACAGAATAGGAAGAACACCTGAAGAGACCAATGATGATAGGAAACACAGAAAAAATTGTCAAAGATTATTTCCCAAAAAGGCACTAGACTTGGACAATTTTATACATGTTATAAAAAATTAAGGAGCAAAAAATTCTAAAAATTATTTAAACCTTTCCAGGGCCTATAAAAAAGAGAGCTTCCCAAGTTCTTTTTTTTTTTTTTAAGATGTTAACATAAACCCAACATCATACCAGAGACAGTGGGGGGTGGGGGGGAAAGTTACACAATTATCCATCTTTACATATGAAAAATTCCAAAATAATATGAGCAAGCCAAATCCAGAATATTTTTCTTATTTTAAAGCTCTTATTTTTACTATACAATAATACATGAACCTTGTAGAAAAATCAGAAACTACAGATAAGAACACAAAAATCTACCATAACCAACCCGTCATAAATAACCACTGTTAACATTGAGTGGAGTACATTAAAAGGGTAATATACCATGGGTTAATCAGGTTTTTTCTAGAAATGTAAAGAGGGTTTAACATTACTCAATCTATTAAAATGATTCATCTTAAGTCATGATAAAGAAAAACACCTTGAATCATCTTGACAGATGTGAAAAAAGGCATTTAATAAAATTCTAACATCATTACTGATAAAACTTTCAGCAAACTTGAAAGGGCATTACTTTAATATATCAATCAAATGTTAAGAATATCTACATTAAGAGTCCAATTTATACTTCTGAAGAAACACTAAAGGTATTCTCACTAAGTAAAAAAAATACATACAAAGAAGAATATACAATACCAACACAACACAGTGTGTTAGTGAACAATGTTCTAAAAGTGCTGGTTAATGTGATGAGGAAGTCAAATAGATGATTAAAAATATGGTGGTAAAATTATCATCACTACCCAGAACTATTATCTACCTGAAAAAGGCAAAATAATTAACAACAATAACACAACAAAACTATTGGCTTGAAACAGAATTCAGTTATCGGCTAGTTACAAAATAAACATACAACCAATTACCAAGTAAAATATACTAGTATACAACCACACACTACTCTCTATGCAGAGTTAAGGATGAGGTAGATTGACAGATACTCACATAGGAAGGGGCCCAGGGTCTCCAGCCAAGTGAAGCATGCAGGTAGCAGAAGGGTGGTATCATACGGTCAAAATAACAAAACATATTGTAGGAAAAAAATTTGAGAAATATGCATCAACTGTTGACTATCTTGGGGCAAAGGGATTTTCATTATGAGGGACTCTCTATCTCTACATTATGTTTTTTTTTCATAATCTTTACATTTACACAGCTTTTAGTTAACATTTTAAATCAGAAAATCAATGATGTATCTTTATACTAACAGCAAGCAGCTGGAGAGCTTATTTACAATAGTAACCACAACTACAAAAATTACCTATGCTAGGAAAAATACACTGAGGAACATAATACTTTAAAATTTACCAAAATGAAAGGTTAATATTATAAAGATGTNATTAATTCAGTCAATAACTATTTGTTGATTGCCTATTACATATACAGGTATTTTAAAAGTCACAATTCGTAGGAACTTCTAATAATCACCTGTAGTAAATTCTAAAATTTAGTGTAAATTGTTGCTGATAAGATCTGTCAGAGATTACATTTATTTCATTCCTCATATTATTTTTTTCTTAATTTTTGAAAATTCCATGATCACATAAAAAGGTAACATGCTAAAATGGTTAAGCATAGTTGAAATACAGTTTTCAATATAATTTTTCAGGTGTTTGTAGGTTGGACATTGCTTATGTAGGTATATTTGGAAATATAATTACTATTTGTAACATTATGGAGAACTGGGCTTAAAACAATGGCATTGATTCTTAGGACACACCCCATTTGAGAATGGGGGACTCCTTTGTGTTGTTTCATTTCCCCTTAGTTGGAGAATTTGCTTTTTCATTTCCTAAGGCACTAAATGATAGCTGTGGCCCTCTAGTCAGGAGCAACCGATTGCTACAAGCACCCAGCAGCCCTTATCACGTGGCTGAGGAGGTGGCAGTACCATTGAGCCGCAGCAGAAACTCCTATTCCTGGCACCCAAATACAGTGCTTTTTTTCTTTTAACCTTTTATGCTGTAACTCATGGTAATATTAAAATATTATTCCACCAGGATCAATGCAAAGAAAATCATCAACTCCGATTGCAGCAGGCTAAAGAAAGTATAAAATATTTTCATCAGCACCATAGTATTCAGATGGTGAGTTGTTAAAGAAAAATGTCTTAGATTTGCATCATATGACACCCTGGCTTAAGTTTATGGACATGAGAGCTCCACTGCCCTGGACCTGCAGCTGTCACCCTTGATCCGGGGGAGACTGCCGTCTGGGGAGCAGACTCAATGGTGGTCTGGGGGAGGTGATGTTGGGTTACAGCCCCTTTCTCTCTTAAGACTTTTATTTTGAGGAATTTACAAATACATGTTTGTTTAAATATAGAAAAGAGACAAGATCAAAGCAGAGGAGCAAAAGAAAAAAGAATGGATAAACCAAGAACGCCAAAAAACACTGCAACGATTGAGAGCATTTAAAGAGGTAAGTTCCAGAAGTAATCACCTCGCCTACATTTTCCGGAGAAATACATGAAGATCACATATCCTCAGAGAAAGTATGAAGTATTATGAACAGATAATTTAGAACACAAAATGTTCCCAAAATGCCATTATTTTTAGTATATTGATAAAAACCAAAATTATTAGAATATCAAGATGTTTTGACATTGCCATACGCTAGGGTTCCTGCTCTCCCCTCCCGAGGGGTGCTAGCTCTGCCTACCATGTCGACCAGGAAGGAAAACGGAAAATAGTTAAGTTGCCCTCAACTTAAGCTGGACTTTTCCTCATTTGCAATAAAGAATTCTTTAAAATGAAGTCAAAGAAACACTGTGATATAAGTATTGTTAAGTGCTGTATTAAAAGTAAATAGGTTATTTTTTTTAAAGTAAATACTTACTTATTTAAAAATAACATTAAAGCTCTGAGTATAAAACATAAACCTGTTCTCATTAGGTTCACAAAGACCCAAGTTCATTGTTGCCCCAAGCAGAAAACAGCCCACTCCAGACGAGCCTCTGGAATAAGGTACCAAGACTGTGCTGTGTGATAACAAGCAAAGTAGGGCCCCTGGAATGACAAGTCATGACATACTACCTTCATCTTGTGTTCTGATACACTTACTATTACTACTCTGTCACCAAGTGTGTCCCCCTTCCGTGCCTAGGTACTTAGTCATTCTCCTTTCGTTTTTAAAATGACCTTGTGAGCTACTGTCACCCACTTCACAGGTGAGTAAGCAAAGCTCAGCGGGGTTATACAGAGCGGGGTCTCTCACTCCAGAGCCACAGCTCAGATTCTCCAACCCGGGCAGCACATCATGGTCATCTGGGAAGCCTCTAAAAGGACGAATGCCAGACTCCACTTCCAGGGATTCTGAGTTTGTCGTCCTGGACTGGGGCCTGGGCGTGAATGGAAGCAGGACGAATGCACTGGGGGAAGCGACAGGAATGCCAGCTGGACGGATAGCACGTGAGCTGTCAGTCACCAGAGGACCATTAGTGCAGTGGAATCAGTATGGAGGAAGGGATGCCCGGGGCCCAAGTCCAGCTCCTCAGCCCTGAACCAGTCAGATAGATTAGTGATCAACTTTTCAAACAGAGATGGTGTGAAGGTGGGAGGATAGACAGATGGGAAGTGACAGAATCAGGCCGCCTAAGCACTCAGCAAACTGGAACAAGGAGTTAAAAAAAACCTAACAGGTTGATCTCAAATTGGTTTAAGTTGCAGGTTTTTTTGGTCCAAAAATACACTTACACAGGGGGTGGTAAGAAGGACTGTGAGTGTGTGTGTGTGTGATTTAATGTAGAGAAAAGAACCTTGAGAATTTAGTTTCCTTCAGTTTAATGTGAATCACTTGGGATAAAGCTGTAGAAAAACTCATGAGTTTTTAGAAAGGAACAGAAGCATCGTTTTGTAGAATGAGGGAATTCTGTCCCCCTTAAAGCAGACAAAACCAATTGGAGCACATCTGGAAGGAATTAGGAGAGGGAGAAGGCCGGAAATGAAATCATGGGATACAAGATACATGTGGAGCCCAGACAGGTTTTCCTTACATACATGAAGGGCTGCCAGGAGGTGAAGGGTTTCACTGGTCGTGGGCGAGCCTCAGGGAGGCGGACTGCCCAGCAATGTCAGGTAGAACTCAGCAGGCCAGAGTTACAACAACCTGCTGCTGTAGGATGCTAGGAGGGGAGCCTTGGCTGGCTGGGGCTCCCCGACATCAGGGATGGCTTGATGACCCGTGGAGTCTGGTCAGAGTTTCCGGGATTCTGTTCTACTGGCCTGCTCTGTGACAGAAAGGGAGGA